TCGGATATTAAGAGCAATAATTGCTGGAATATCCAGTTTGAACTATCGGAGGTTCAAAAGCTCAAAAGCTAAGCTGTTTTGGGGTCGAACCGGTTTAGAAAAAAATGTTTTCCCCCCCATACTTGTCTGGCGATCCGGAGACAGTAGAAGTTCTTCAGTGAGAGGCAGAGATTTTCTGATGTATGTCAAACTCTTCATAAGCTTCAGCGGTACCAGTGAACTTTTATTGAATGTGTATGTAAGAAACACTGCAATACAGCAATATATTTTGGTATTGGAACAAGCTGCTAACATATGTCTAAAGCTCCTTAAGGTGCTACAGACCTCTTTTCTAGTTCTTAATTGTATTGTTTGTACAAGTATCCCGTTTAGTCGAACAGCCGGCACGTGTGTGCCTTGTTCTTCTATATCGCTACGTATATTTTTTATTGTACTGTGATTTTTTCTGTTGTTTTTTTTTTTGGGGTAGTATTTTACGAATATGCCTGTAATGTCATGTCCCGCACACACACACACACCTCTGTGTGCGTCGGGACACTTCTACATGTAAGGACATCAGTGCCGATGCTGACTAACTTTACTCCATGTGTTTTTATGAAAACGAGCTGAGAAGGTTCAGAGATGAACTCCATTCCAGCCGCGTGGGTTTTGCTACTTGTTGCATTTCAGCAATGCCATCCTGTGACGATGATGGACTCGGTGCAAAATCTCAATGTTTGACTTCAGATCTGTTTTACAAACTACTGTTGTATTTTTTATACATATAAGCAACATAAATCACATAAACATATATACCTAAATATATATGTATATGTTTATAGGTTGTGTAAAAATAAATATTAATGCTGCCACTTTTATCAGTTGTTTTTTAAACATTGTCATCATCCAAAGAGACAGATTATTTATTGCTTGGCAGAATAACCTGATTATAATACACATACCTTGCTGCTATGAGAGAAGAGTTGTAATCAACAACTCAAGTGTTTTTACTCAATAAATACAAGAGAAAGATACACCTACCAAGTCTGTTTGGTGTTTCTAAAATGGTTAACGTTGCATGTTGTTGTGCTGTATCAGTTGAATCATTTTCAATTTTTTACTTCTATTACTGCTCAGACTCAGCTACCAAGGAGACACCGACATAATTTCCAGGGATCTTACAAGATGAACAGCGTAATCAAGTTCAAACAGAGAGAGAGGTGAAGTTTAAAGGACGTTTTTTTGCTATGCTATGGTTTCAGGGATGGGACAAACCTGTTCATGTGTGGCAATACACTGTTGCATGCTAAAACATGCAAGTTAAAATTAGAAATACAGGCTGGTTAGAGTTACAAAAGCCCTCTTCTACCTTCAAAATGAACACCCCAGGTCAGTTTTGCCGGTATGCACCTCTAAAACTGTACATTGTTCAAAAAGGCAAAGTTGTTAAAAAGGTAGTCTTCACGAACACTCACAATAGCTGTTCATAAATATCACTTTTATAAGCTCAGAATGCAAAAAAAGGGCCTTGTTTTAGCCAGCCCTCCCCATTCTACAAATGGAGTAAACTCAGTTGAACCACCGGTGTGAACCCATTGAACCCAAACAGAAAGCATTACATACTCCACAATGTTGAGAGTGTCTCACACGCTCTGTGTGTGCGCGCGTGTGTGTCGGTGTGCGTGTGTGTGTGTGAAAGTGAGACACACAGGCCGGTTCGCAGCTCTTCCACCCTCCTTCTGACCAGTCTTCTGCCTGTATGTTAGCGTTAAAGCTTTGGCCGTTTTATGGGAGAGTGGCTGGTGAAGCAGCAGATCTGTGAGGACAGCAGCATGCTGCATTCAGGGACCGTGGACATTTGGGAAATGCTCGGCTCCAAATGCAAACAATGCCATAGGAAGTTAGATTTCCTTCCTTGCAACATGTATGATCCTCTTAAAGTCTTCAAATAAGCAATTTACACATAGGAAATGCATATTTTTTTATGTACATGTGGTAACATTGCTTTTAGCTAACAGAAGAACTCAAAGCAATTTTGGAACTCTTTTAAAGTTGGTCTGATCTTGTTTTTGAAAGTTGTGGAATGTCCTAACATGTATTTCTATCGAGTGTTTCACCAAGATGGGAGTCTTCTTCACGACATCCCAATGAAATTTTGTTTTTAATGAGACTTGTGTGATGGGTGGTACCTGTTTTTTGAAGCATGGGGGAATTCTCTTGGGGGGAACAAAGCAAACAGCCACTAATGGCAGGAACAAAAAAAAGAAAGAAAAGCAAATTGACAAATATCAAAAGCAACTTGCATGGCAAACCTTTCAAGCAGTTCAGAAAACGCTGGGCAGAGCCAGTCTGGGGTTTTAAAACGGTCAAAAATCATCCCAAAACAACAGGGAGACCAGAATGGAACAAGATAGTTTCAATCTTCAGTGCTGCTCTAAATGATCTATAGGACAAATTATCATATCCTCCTGAGACCCGGCCCATTCATTTATGTCCATTATAGTGGACATTTTGTCCACCTGTACCCCCCCTAAGTATCTGGAGTTACCCTATCAGCCCTATAGTGTTCTGTAGAGGACATCCTGGGCTTTCCAGTGATGTGCCTTGTGATAGGTTTGCATGCTGGGAACTTTACTTTTTTCCTAAGAGTTCTTAGGTAAATATCCCTTTCAAGACATCTTCTTTTTTATTATTTAATTATCTAAAGCCTGTTCTATTTTCCCATGCAAATCGTCCTGTTGTCCTACTCAGTGGACATGCTATGAAATTAAAATAAAAATATTTTTTTTAAAAATGAAATTGTAATGTTCTTTTTGAGGTCCAAATACATGGAAAATCACAACAAAAAAGAAATTTGAAGACACTTTTTTTCTTTGGGTCTCAGGAGGATATCTGAAACAGAGCAGGAGTCTTTCTGCTCAGGTGCTTAGTCCAGCCTCATCCCAACGTCCACAAACGTGCACATTAGGCTGATTTCAAACTGGAAATCTTCCCTAGGAATGAATGTGAGTGGGTGTTTGTTTTTATGTTGCCATGTGATGAGCTGGTGCCCGAAAACATCCTCTCCGTGTTTAGTTCTCGCTTCTTATTTTTAAATAAGACAATAGGTGGGCCTTGTTTCACTATTTGACCGGCATGCATTGCTTCTCAGACCATGACGCGCCACGTACAGATTGCGTCCCAATAGTCTAACGCACCTGTAGCTGAAAGCCCATCAGAGTCTCCCTCCCCCACCGACGCGCCATGCCTTCTCCCATCCCCGTCACCCGGCTCATGCCCAAGGACCTCTACCCCTCCCTGGACATCGGCACGTGCAGCAGCCCGCTGGCCCAGAGCGCGCACGGCCCCAGCCTGCAGGTGCCCGTCCAGCGGCTGCACGGGAAGGTGGCCAGCCGGGTGTGGTCGTCCGTGATCCACTGGAAGCATCTGCGCGCCACGCGCCCCGTGGGCTCCGGGGGGTTCGGCTCCGTGTACAAGGCGGAGTACCTCGGGGAGACCGTGGCGCTGAAGAAGGTGAAGAAGAGCACCAAGAACCAGCTGGCCTCGCGCCAGAGCTTCTGGGCCGAGCTGAACGCGGCGCACCTCCGGCACAAGAACATCGTGCGCGTCATCGCGGCCACCACCTGCGTCCCCAAGGAGTACGAGGAGGAAAACGGCATAGGGACGATCTTGATGGAGTTTGTGGGGGACATGAACCTGCAGCAGATCATTTACGGAAGCCCCGAGCCGCTGGGGCACGAGAGGTGCCTGGACTTCTCCACGGACATCGCCAGCGGCCTGAAGTATCTCCACTCCCACGACGTCGTGCACCTGGACATAAAGCCGGCCAACGTGCTGGTGTCCAGCCAAGACGTGTGCAAGATCGCGGACTTCGGCTGCTCCCTGAAGCTGGACCGGGACTCTGAGGCGTGCGCCATCAGCCCCCACCTGAGCCACGTGTGCGGCACCTACACGCACCGCGCCCCGGAGCTGCTCAAGGGCGAGGGCGTGTCCAGCAAAGTGGACATCTTCTCCTTCGGGATCACGCTGTGGCAGCTGCTGACCAGGGACGCGCCCTACTCGGGGGACAGGCAGCACATCCTGTACGCGGTGGTGGCGCACAGCCTGCGGCCCTCCCTGGAGCAGCCCCCCGTGTTCCGCACGGAGCTGGGCCGGGGGGCCGGGGCCCTGCTGGCCCGCTGCTGGAGCGCGGAGCCCGGCCGCAGACCCTCCGCGCAGGAGCTGCTGCTCCAGTTGGAGCAGCTACGCGCCCTCCTATGAGTTTTATATCATGTCGCACAGAAGCTTTTTCTTAAACTTTTACCGGAGTTTTATTCGATGCTCGCCTGTAATCACTTCCCCAAATGGAATTGGGGCCACTACCTTTAGGCGCATCTGTGCCAAAACCCTTTAAACTGTGTGGATGTGTGCTCGGTTTGCATATGTTGAAAAAGCAATATTCTAATTAAACATGTGGCTTTAGATTCTTACAAAAAAAATTGCGTTTTTCAACATTCTAAAACCTTTTTTCTCTCATGCGTTTGTAGCTATAAGTGCTATATGTTGTGTTTCTGTGTGTTGTTAGTCGGAGGGGATTCCTTCTTAATGTGTTGACGTTTAAGTATGGTGGGTTTTCATTAAAATTATTTTAAAATTGCGTTCAGCCTCAGTTTTTTGTCGTCAAATGTGCTGATGAGTTCGCCTTTGAGCTTCTGGAAGGAAGATCTGGGCTGGGCTGAAAATCTGGATCTATGGTTGTTTGTTGGCTCTGACTTCCAAGAATCAGACCAAAGTTAGATTTGGACTTGGATTGCAGTCCATCTTTAACAAAATATGGGTGCAGAGACGGTCTTTATATGTATGGATATACACATGTGTGCATATATATGTATATATATATACATATATAGGGACATTTTGATATCTGAAAAACAAATTCTGTGTTGCACAGTTTATATTTGCTCTCTAAAGGTAAAAAAATATCTATAAAATATTTAAAGCAGTGGTGTGCAATTGAGTTCCACCATCAACATGACTATATCTTCATTAAAACTTTTTATTCACATTTCCAACAAAGGATTCTTTGGCAATAGAACATGAAACTTTTTTTTTTTTCTCACAAAAACACAACCACTTCAGGTTAACTTATTTTCTTTTCCCCACAACTCATGAACAGACACACAGCAGCAGAGTTCTTGTTAACTCAAATGAAAGCAATCGGACATCAGTGTCACTGTTTTTAAGGGGCGGAACATTAAAACGTGACATTTTACGAGGAGATACAGTGAATATTAACAGCCACACGAGCACAGCAAAAACCGTCCACAGCAGAGACAACAGGGGCAAACATGAACAGTGCTAATTTGATTTTGTGAAACCAACGATCACATGATGGTGACTCTTTCGGGGGAGATATTGGCCGCTGACCCCACCGGCTCCAGGCGCTGGCACTGGTGCCGGCTGCTGTCCAGCCCCTTGCGGATCTGGTGGAGCTTGCAGGCCAAACAGGGGAGCAGCATCAGCGCCTTCCCCAGGACCACCACCACCGGCAGGGCCAGGGACACCACGAAGCTGGGGGGCAGGTAGAACCGGTAGGCCTCCTCCTCCAGGGCCCGCTTCCAGCCAAACAGCAGCCCGTGGAGGGTGGCTATGAGGAGGGCCACGTAACCCAGGGTGGACTGTGAAGACAAGGATTATTTAGCATGTAAGATCACCCCTAAACAAGTTAAATTGACCGTTTTGCATGTGTAACCATGGTTACATATTGAAGTTTAACTTTTGGTTGTGTTCATTATAGAAGGGCGTGGTGGTCATTTGTATGCTGCAGCTAATCTGAGGTTGTTTTGACCTAATTCAGAGAGCTGGTAAACATAATTGGACATATTCTCACATCCTGATTTGCAACATCTTAAAACTGAAAGGTATACTTTCATTTTTGGACGACTGTGCCAGAACCGGCCCAACGATCGGACACATGGCTTGTCCTGGCTCGAAATCTCTTCCAATTTCAGCTCAACTGCATGTCAGACAAACTCTAACTCTGCTAGTAAGAGTTGAAAACCACCTTGTTTCTGCCCTCACTACATAAGGTGTGTTTTCTGACAGTTCCTCTACTAAAAGGGCTTTGAGTTCTGTATAGTTGTACCTCAGTTACTGTTTGGATGCAGAATCTTAGTCAGTCTTAACATTTGTTGTATTGTTGTACATATTATTTCAACCCCTATGCTATATAAGTTGAAATGCTAGATGCATAGCATATAGCCAAGAGACAATCATCCATTAGGTTCCACAGATACATTTACATTTGACTTGTTTATATATTAAGTCTTTTAGCGTCTTTTGACAAATACATTCACAAGTACAAAACAAGAATAAGTGTTTTTTTATATGAAAAAAAGTATTTTAAACATTTTTATTAACAAAGAGTTTTTGTATTACTTCGAACAAAAGCTGATAGTGCTACTCAAGAGCAATTGCCTCACATGATGTGGGTTCTAAAGAGTTACCAACTGGAACACTGAATTATTTTGTACACACTGGAAGGTTAAAGCTAAAAAAATCAACAAGTTGGCAATTCGCCACAAGTCAAACAATCTATGATTTAAATAAAACTGAACTTAACCTTTGATGAGGATGCAATTATAAGGAGGAATGTTCAGCTATGTGTAGTAAAAAAGTCCTAGATTTTCAAGTTTGTGTCAATCTTGCGTGTTTCAATGTAAATAACAGTCAAATAGACTTAAAACAGAACCTCAAATAGCCACAACCAGACTGTAGCTGTTGTTTTCTTGTGATTTAATTGCATTTGGATGTCGGATTTCTCATTGTCTCCTGGCGTGTTTTACCTGTATAAAGCTGAATTCCCTCCAGTTGAGTGAGCTGTTGATGGAAGGAATGGAGGTGATGGCCAGCAGAGACAGGAGCCCAAAGCTCATCACCCCAAAGGAAACGTACATCTCCACCCTCCACACTTCTTCCTCATTCCACACATTCTCCACATTGGCATGGATCTGCCGACATATCAAATGGACAGAGTTGACAACACTTAGTCACTTCTGTTTTAGATTTTAAGCCAAATTAACCGACACATGAGGAGATGCATCCATTGGTTTGGTGAACTGACTATAGCACGTCTCCACTTCCATACCAAGAGATTTATGGATTCAAATTCTCATGATGTAAGCCCTCAATACCCAACATCCTCAACTAAACAGACTAAATCTAGTTTAATAATGACAGCTAGGTAAAATGAGAAAATAAGGATATTAAAGCAATCACAGCAAAATCTAAAATGGAAGGGAAGCAACAAAAAATGTGAAGAAATTGTCGTGTCTGGCTAACAGGATATACCAATATCAAACGCTTTAGCCAACATATCTACAATTATTATTCTATTTATCACTATCTTTCATTAAATATAGTTTGGACTGGTTTCTGTCAATTACTACAACTACTGTAAATGAGTACTGTAGCTGTAATAGGACTTAAGTTTATGTTTTTTTTTTTCATTTTTCCAGTCTTAGTATTGGCTTCTAAGGTGAATTTCCTCATTAAAATCTTTTCTAAGGATTTAGTGATGTACAGGGTTAAACTTAGTGTTAGAATAGTGGTTGACACTAGTTTACAATGGTTGCTGGTAAAAGTTATTTTGCACATTTGTCAACATCAGACTTGGACTTCTACATATTTTGGGGTTTTATCGTCTACATAGGTTTCAGTGTCGTTTATTTGATTCCACATTCTTTTCTGCTTAGGATACAGGTTCTTAAGTAATTATCTGCTGTCATTAGCCTGAGAAAATCCTATAAAATTTGTATGAAATACAGTTATGTATCCAGCCTGTAAAGCAGCTGGTAGCATTTGTTGTTCTAAACTGTTTTAAGTTCAGGTTCGGATTTGTGATCTCATTTAGGTTTGTGCATCTAGCAGGTGCTTATAATACAGATTCACCAGTACAGTTAGCATCAACAATAAGCTACATAGAATGAAATCATTAGTCAGACTCTGTTAGAGGCACCGTGGTGACAGTGTAGAGGATTTCATTTCATTCTATTCACTTTTCCTGAGGAGATATAAATTTTATTCTAGCCACAGAATCAAAAATGGCTATTCATGTGTGAATTTATCCAAGGACATTATTTTGGGGAAAATAATGCTAATAAAATATTTTCAAAAAGGAAACAACAACAAAAAATCATTATAATACGGTTTAAAATGACCAACTCCCCAAAACAGATCCAGGTTTATCACCAGGTGGCACTAAAGTTACAACCTGATTTGTTTCATGAAAAAAAAACTACATTTATTCTAAAATGTGTCACCGTAGTCCCACTGACCTGCTGGTAGGCGGTGTTGAGCAGCAGGTACCTCTCTGACCTCCTGAGGGGGAGACAGAGGCTGTAGAGCACGTGGACGGCGGCCAGGAAAAAGCTGATTAGGCCGAGCTGTTTTCTGCTCTGGAGCCAGCCTTCCAGCCAGTGCGGGAAATGTTTGTATTTGGTTCCGTAGTAGAGCTGGTGGGCGGCCGCCAACTGACCGGCCAGGTACACCAGGGCCAGGAGGGTGATGGCCACAGTGGGCAGCGTCCGGTTGACTATCTCTATGGGGATCTTGTAGAAGTCACTTTGCTTGTATCTGACATAGGGGTGGATGATATCCCTTATAAAAGAGTAAGCAAAAAAGAAGATGGACAGGGCCACGGCAGCGAGGACGGGGCCTTTCCAACCCGGAAATAACTGGATGGGGATGTTCTCGATCTCACGGGAAGAAGACAGGGCGCCCATGTCCACGGGCTGGAAGTGGAGCTGGCGGGCTAATTCCATAATCTGCAGCCGGGCCTCCACCGAGTCACTGCATATGAACACCTACAGAAACCACACAGAGCAGGGCCGGGGACAGGGGGGGGTCACTAGCATGGAGGGAGCAGTTTGGGCGGAAATATTCCTTTTTCTATTCAACATTTTTGGAGAAAGGAGAATAAGAATAAGGAGTCCTATGCTAATACTCACATTGCTAAAATGGTTCTCATTCATCAAATCAGCCAGTCAGACAAAGCTACAGTTGAATGCAGCACTTTAAATATTGCAACAGAGATTTTTTGAAAAAGGCAAATCCCTATTATATATAATTGTGTTTTTTAATTTGCAGCCAGCGGCCTAAAATCAGTGTGAAATGTAACAAACCATTTTTAAAAAATCAAATCTTTGAACCTCCTGAGAGTCTGTTTTCATGTGAGGACGCTGCATTTCTGCCTCTCTGTACCGG